ATATATAAATAACGTTTGAAAGGGAAAAACACTTTTTATATTTGAAAATTATAATTCTTAAGAATTACAAGTCCTAAAAATTATAATTCTTGAAAATAGTTAAAATTAGTTTAGTTATTTGTAAAAAATTTATGTGAATATTAATATAGATTTCTTGAAAAATAAAAATTATCACATTTGATTATTATATTGTTTTTTTGCTAAATAAAATTTTTTATAAAAATATTCTTTACAAAAAAAAATTGAGTTTCTTCTTATTTTCCTTACAGGGTGTACCTATGTTATAATCTAATATATATAAAAAATATATCATATTTAGCTTAAAATAAAAAAATCAACAATTTACATATAATTAAATTATACACAAAATAACATTAGGTGTTAAATATAATTTTTATGATTTATCATAAAAAGAAGGTTAAATTAACAAGCAAAATAAAATATAAGTAAATTAGAAAGAACATAAGTTATTAAGTTAAATAAATTTATTAAAACTTATTCTTTAAGTAAATGAATCCCTTCTCATATATATGAGGAGAGATCAAATTATACCAATGTAATTTTAACAACTATTACATAATTTAATAATTTTTAATTTGATGATGTTTTCTCAAAACTTATTATTGAATTGAAATTTTGTATTACCTTAAACAAGTATGCAAAATTTTCACTACAAGAATTTTCGAAATTACAAACGATCAAAATTCGTGGATAATCGAAAATCTTCATGAGTAACACTTTATTTTCGACGGATTACAGACGTCCGTGGGTAACTTTCCGACAGAATTACCCATGGATAAAATCCGTGGGTATTGTTGATAATATTTTTAAAAAATCATTTCAAAATTATATTAAACAACACTCTTATTTAGTGTAACCATCCCTCATATATGACCTTTCAGCAACTACACTCCACGACACTTCATACAACTCCTCGTTGGTCAGAACACTTCATGGGTTACCCTTTTTGAGATATTTGTTCATTTTTAAGATCAAAAATTGACCACACAAACCCCACAAATCAACACAAGACTTTTCAAGGTGCCTTATCGTCACTCTCACACTTTTCTAGAATACTTCCCAGAAGGTCATCCATTCTTGAATTACTCTATGTTAAGCACGCATAACAATAAAGTTTTTAAGGAATAAGCTACCAAAGAGTAGATGCATCTCATTAGTATATATAGTACAAATTAATTCTTTTAAGTCATCCTTAATTATAGAATCTCATACTTGTACAATCTTTGGATCCCTCTCATTCCAATATATTTCACAAATTACAATATAATATAATATTATAATTTTTATGTAAATTAAAAAATACTAATATTTTAGTCTATGTATTACACAAGTTACATTTTTATTATATATAATTAAAATTTATAATAAATTATATAAAAAAAATATTATAGTTAAATCAATTAATCATATTTAAAATTTGTATAAATATATATTAAATTAAAATTAGTAACTAATCAAACAATAACTCACTTTTATATATAAAACACAAATGTCTTTTTTGTGTCATAACGTTTTTAGAGACTTTTCTTTAACTAGAAAAATTTTATATATTTAAAAAAAAATATCTAATTTAATTTTTATTTATCATAATTACTTATGAATTAATTTTATTATTTTTAAAATAAATTATTAATAAAAAATAATTATCCATGGATACATTCATCAGTAATAACGTTGGTAATTTCGTGGGTATTGTTAATAATATTTTTAAAAAATCATTTTAAAATTGTATTAAATAACAATCTTGTTTTATTAAAAACAATGTAGTTCAAAATTGGTAAAATTATTATAAATGTTAAGAAATCATCTTTTAATTTTAGACTATCTTGCATTAATATTATTTCACTAATTATATATTTCTCAATTTAAATAAAATAACTATATAATAGTGAAATATATTGATAGTAAATTATTATTTTATACTATCATTTAATTATAAATTTATATATATATATATATAATAGTTGGTATGATAAATTAATTAGCATGAGAAAATTAGTTAAGCATTTAAGAATTTAATTTGTTAATATTTTATCATTAATTTTTTTAAAGTTATTGAAGAACTTTTTTGCATTTTCTACGAACAACATTTTAGATAGATAATTCGTGGGAAATATCTGTCTGAAACATCATAATTTTCCCACGAAAAAAATCCGTGGGTATCATCCATCTGAAATTTCAGACGGAAAAAATTTGTGGGTTATATCCGTCAGAATCGTTTATGTTTCAGACGGACATATATCCGTTGGTAATGTCATTTTTCAAACGGATATTTATCCTAGGGAAAAAGT